ACAAAAAGGATTTTTATGCCCGCTGAACAAACGTTACATATTGATTTTCTCGACAGTCCTAATAAATCTTCAAGATTGGTTGAGTTTATGAAGGCTTAGCCAACCAGCAACAATATATCTACTGCATATAATTTGAAAACAACGCATTCGAGACGAATTCGCAATATGGCCGAATCAAGAAATTTGTGTGGCACCACATTCTCTTTGCAACGAGTAGAGAAACAGAAGAAGAAGGGAATGTAAGTTAGAAGGGAGATGCCAATTTAAATGAGATTACGATTTTAAGATGAAGACGAGAACACTATAAGAAAGGACAACAGCAAGCCAAAGAAGACGGTTCTAGAACGACACCAATTTTAGCTATTAAGCTTAAGTTGTGACCTCTCAATCTATTTTAATTGCATTAGGAATAATTTCAAAAAAGTATTTTTCCATTAAAAAAATGCTGAAGAAAGATTAACTAACTTTTAGTATGGAAAGGTATCAGCCATAAACAGCCAAACAAAATCACTCGGTATTTTGTGGCACATAGGAAATTATTCCGTTGAATGGATTTCTGTGTCAGACCTGAACATTTTATTATAACCGTTACTCGTAGAGTAAAAGGGTATATTGTATTTGTGCAAAAGTATGTAACAGGTAGAAGAAAGCGTTTCCGACCCTATAAAGTATATATATTCTTGTTCAGGATCACTAGCCGAGTCGATCTAGCCATGTCCGTCAGTCCGTCTGTCTGACCATCTGTCTGTCTGTCCGTATGAACGCTGAGATCTCGGAAACTATAAAAGCTAGAAGATTGGCATTTTGCATGTAGATTAGGAGTTCCTACGCAGCGCAAGTTTGTTTCAAAATGGTGCCACACCCCTCCTGAGGCCCACAAGCTGTGGCCACAGTTTTGATGCTATTATGAAAATTTTAATTGATATGTATTTGTTTCGTCAATACCTATCAATTGGCCTAATAAAAGTTTGCCCACTCTAACGCCCAAAAACCCATTAAACGCTTAAGCCTAGCTAGCGCCTACATTTCCGCCTTTCATGGCCCGTGGTACCAATGTCTTGGGGTAGATGGCGCAATACAATAGCGCCATCTAACGGATGACTTTGGAACAAGAAAGCATATTTATATTAAGGGGTTATCCGGGTCTTGACACTTCAAAAAATTCATTTTTTTCAAACTTTTTTATATAATAGTACAAAGTTTCAGGAATGTTGTCTGAAAATTTCAAGTCGATCGAAGCAAAACTGTAGGAACGGGAGAAATTTAAAGCCCAGCGCGTCGGACGTCACAACGGGCCAGATGCGGCACTTTAAACGCGTTTTTCTCAAAACCACTTTTTGAAGTCGGTAGTCACGATTTCTCAAAAACTATTGCACCGATCAACTTCTGCTTTTGCACACTTCTTTTAGACATAATTCTCTTGTCCTTAACGGAGGGATTTTTTGAATTTTTAATTACAACTCATTTTATAAGCCAAAATATGGCCAAAATTTACGTAAAAAATGACACTTTTTATGAAAAGCGCTACAAAAAATTCAATTTTTAATTTTTAAAAAAAATGGCTCGTAGAGGACAAGCGAGACACATACACTATCAAAATAATTTTGGTTTTTTGATTTCAGACAAAAATTGGAGGAGATATTTTGCCTACCGCAAGGACACAATTTTTTATGAGGTCAAGTTCAAGCCTGCCTCAACGGCTCAATTTTAAAAATATTTGATTCAAATTTTTACACAATGTTGGTCAAACCATAAACATTAATGTACAATAAATGAAATTTGTGAAATTGTCATAAGATCTTGAAAAAAAATTCACGAAAATAGGCTTTTTTTCGTGCTCCAAGACCCGGATAACCCCTTAAGTTGTTTAGCTGAGTAACGGGTATCTAATAGTCGAGGCACTCGATTATAGCGTTGTCTCTTGTTTTAGTGTACGCTCTTTCAAACTATTTTTAAATTTGTGTTGTTAATATCCGATTTTTATGTCAAATCATTGACCGGACTTTTAAAATTATACAACAATTTAAGGCATTCCACGATTTGATTTTTTTTTTTGTATTTTCTTAAATGATGTTAATACCGATCAGAAAGATAAATTGACATTTCAAACACAAGTTGGGTCTTTACTTAGCAAGATATTTAGGACAATTTTTTTTTACATACACCAGTCTGTGCCAATTTCATCACTCTACAAAAATATAGGTTTTTTAGACTTAAACAAGAAAGAAATGCTAACTTCGGGCGGAGCCGAAACTGATAAACCCTTGCAGAATATTCTGTAAATTATATTCTCCGAAATTATTCATATGATGCATTCGTAATACTCATAAAAAATACCAACTTTCTAACTTTAATAACACCAAAGTTATGGCATTTCCGATCGTTCAGTTATATGGCTTCTATAGGATATATTCGGCCGATCCTTATTATGAAATTTGGTTGGTCGGAATAAGAAATGCTAATTTCCTAACTTTAGAAACACCAAAGTTATGGTATTTCCGATCAATCAGTTATATGACAGCTATAGGATATAGCCGGCCGTTCCGACCTATATAAAAAAGTTTCGATTCGATATTTTTAAAACTAAGAGACTAGTTTGCGCCGAAACAGACAGACGGACATGCTTATATCAACTCAGGACGCGATCCTGATCAAGAATATATATACTTTATATGGTCGGAGATGTCTCCTTCACTGCGTTGCACACTTTTGACCAAAATTAAAATACCCTCTGAAAGGGTATAAAAAGTACATTAGTTCAGCTAAACAGATTAAAAAATCTTTTCTAACTGGCTCATAAGCCACAGCGAACTTTTTAACGAACTCGGAGTGTAATTGATCGGAATCCAGCCCCCCAGAAACAGATGCCGAGTAATTTATGCAATGGCTTTTTAATTAAAACGCCAGGCAGCTTAACTTATTGACACTAAACTTGCTATTTGGATATGTCAGCATAGTGAAGTGGAGGGAGGCGCTATTAGTTCATAATTTTCCTGGGAAAGTGGAAATTAATTTGCTTTGTTCGAGCCATTGACACAAGCTTGAAGCGTAGAACGGATTACGAGTCGTCGAAGTGAAAAATTGCGCCAGTCACCGAAGTCAATTGCAACAGAGCCCTGGGCGACGAGGACGTCAAGGAGGAGGATCTGGGGTGAACATGTGCTTGGGCGCGACTGTGGGCGGCTTGTCCACTAATCCGATTAGTTGTGCAAAAATAACATTTTGACCGGGGGACGGTGAAAAGCGTGTACAAATTTACCTAACGGCTTATGGCAATTAGTCGAACGAGTTACAGGACGCAACTTTGATTCGGCTTTGTGTGAGTTTCCGTTTCTGTTTCTGTTGCGTGGGTGATTAGACAAGCGGCTATGGTCACAACTAAGCTATTTTTATTCAGCTCGCTTTTAGCCTGGGTTTCAATCCCGCACAAACACAAACTTTGCGCATATCCCAGCCATTTAGGGAAGTTTGCACTCAGCCACGACCAGAGCCTGTGCGAAAAGTTAAGTGCCAAGTTTCCCCAACAAGTGGCATTGAATTTGACAGAACAACTTGGGATTGGGATTGGACAACTGCCGACAGCAGAGCTAAAGTTCGGCCTGGCTCTTAGTGTGTGCTCTCGAAATTAATTTGAATGAAATATATTGAGTGTAATGCGAAAGACAAATAAAACTTGCGTAAACTTTTCATTTCACTCTTGGCCAAGAGTGATTGCATCTGGGCCTGCAGGCTTGACCGAAAACAAAATAAGTTCGGTTTACCTGATGGATCTGCCGGCTGCCCAGTTCTGTTTGCCTGGTAAGAGGTTTTTTCTTTTTCTTTTTAAATTTCCATTTTTATTTTTTTGTGGGGCAAGTCTACTTTTTGGATGGGTTGGAGGGTTCCATCGTCCTGCTTCCAAGTCAAGGCTCCGGACCAGCAGAACCGAAAAATAAACAGGCTTTCAGGAAAACGACAAGAAATCAGAAGTTGTCTTGGCCACTTTTCGAACATATGCATATGCATATGCATGTCCCCCCGAATGTCCCGCACCAAGTCTGCAACTATCCAAATATCTAAATACCCAAGCCCCCGAATGACAGACAGTTATCTCGAATGCAACAGCCACCGAAGTTTTGCTTAAATTTAAGTCCAGGCACTGCATCCTGGCAGAGAGAAGGCCGAGGCAAAAACAAATTTCACTCTGAAAATTTTAAATTCTACTTATAAAGTGCTTAAGTTATTACGCTGGCCAGTAGAGCAGAGCAGCTTGTTTAGCATTTCCGCTTCCGTGTGCACAGCTGTGGCACTGGGCATTCCGACTTGGCTCAGTTTGCATTTTTCATGAGTTGTGCAATTCAATTTAGATACGAGTCTCGGGCTTAATGTGCTGCTAAATGAGCAGACGAAAACAAAACAAACTCTCGGTCCTCCAATCTGGGCAGGGAAACCCTTTTCGGGGCTCTAAACGGATGTTCTTGTCCCGGGGCACAGCTATTATTTTAGGATGCAGCAAACTGGATTTGATTGGGAAATTTGTTGATTTTTAATTTGACCCCCAAGCGACCTTTTCTTAATAAATTAGTTAAAAGGACCCACAGCCGACCTGGACTTCCACCCACTTCTGCCCAACGCCAAGTGGGAGTTCACTTCGCGAAACCCTCTCCCTGTTAAAATCCTTCGATCATTATGTAAAGTAAGCTCATTTAAAAGAGAAAAGCTTATGGCTCTGAAAATTACGCATACGCCGCATAAATCATTCGCCGTAAGCCGGCGGAGCGGAACCCGGAACGATGGCAGAGGACGAAAATCCGGACCTGGCCGTTCGCCGAAATACAAATTGCGTGGCTGGCCGCATTAATTGCGGCCTATTTATATGGCCGTTTGGCGTCGCGCTCACGTGATTAACTTGGTATTAATACAATTAAAATGCACGGCAGAACGCAGCCACATACGACATAATCCAGGTAAGTGTCAATTCGCATCCTTAAAGAGTTTCCATTGAATTCAAAAAGTCGGGGTCGGTTTTACGTAATTAGGGCTTGTTATTATAATATCTTTTGGTTTATACACGAACGTTAGCCACAAGCTTTCAGATTCTTACTCTTATTGAAGCTTTAGTTGCGAGACTAAAGCATTAAGCTATAGACTCCTTTGATTTGGGATTGTTAGCAGATGGTTTCTTTGCATTACACTAAGGATTAATGTCCATTATTAGTGTGAGAAAAACTAAACTTATCGTAACTAATCTTAGGATTCTAGTTTCTATTTACAGTTTCCAATCGAAATGCTTAAACTACAAATGCATCTTTGGTCCAAACGGTTCTCGCTTTCTGCTCTTATTGTTGGAGCTCTCATAGGTGACGATCTCAATGGTTTACGGGTTGCCATGCATTCGTACATCCTGACTAATTGCCAATTCGCTACAGGTAGACAAAGTGCCCCAGTCCCTTGGCCGGGTTGTTATTGACGGCCTCCGCCGCGAGCTTGGTGGCAGGATTGCCGTTCAGGTCCTGCCCCTCGGCCTCCGCCACGGGCATCAGTCTGCCGTAGAGTCCGGCGGATGCGAAACGGGCGTTCATGTGGATGTCCAGCAGCTTCTTGTCCTTGCCCAGCGAGGAGAACGAGTGGGAGGCGGTGCGAATCTCGCGTATGTTGTACACGGGGCTGTAGGCTCGGGCGGGGGCAAGGGCAGGTGCGGGGGAGACGGAGTCAGGGACAGCCACCTGCGGGGCGGGGGGAGCTGCGGGGAGGTAGAAGTCCCGGCGCAGGGTGCACTCCGTGGAGGTGTCCGAGGAGCCGGAGCTGCTGGCCCACTCGTCCTCATCCTCCGCGTCCTCGCTGCTGCTCCGGCTGCTGCAGCTTCGCAGATCCTCGGAAAGCGAGAGGTCCGATTCCAAGGAGAGCTCCAGCAGACTGGTGGCATCCTCCGCCGCCTCACCCGCCTGGCCAATCGCCTCGTTCAGGTTGACCAGCAGCTGTCGCCGGCGCGCGTAGTGGGGCGTCCGCCGCACCAGGAAGTGGCACCCCTCGCCCCGCTTCATCCGCTCCATTTGGGTGCGCAGCGGCAGGTCGTCCGGATGCAGTTTCCGCTGGCACTCCTGCCCGGGGCACACCTCGTACAGCGAGAAGTTCTCGACGGGCTCCGGCGAACTGTAGCAGCCCAGGAGCAGGTGCAGCAGCTCGTCGCTGGTGGTCTCCTCGCTGATGACCAGCGACTTGTACTGGGAGCTGGGCTGCAGGGCGGAGGTGTGGACGCGGATCAGACCGCCTGGCTTCAGCTGCAGGCAGAAGCGGGACTCGCCCTTCGGGTGGCAGGCCTGCATGATGGCCGGCCGGGTGTCGTCGTCCAGCACCAGGATGGTCTTCACTCCGGCCCGGCGCACAGCGACCTCCATGGACAGGTAGAACAGCCGCGGGTCGCGTTGGCGCATCTTGAGGCTGTGTTCGAATTTAAATGTGAATCGAATTAGCACACACATTAACACAGCGGATCAATAAAGCAATTCGCTTACCGTCTCAGCAGCTGGGCAATCACCTCCTTGCTGGTGGTGTCCCACTGAATCCCCAGAGTCTTGTACTCGATGTCGATCTTCAGGCAGTTTGTGTACACCTTGATTGTGGTCTGTTGGCGTGAAATTGGGAATGAGTTTAGGGTTCGCGAGGAGTGCTCCCGTAAAGGACTCACCTGTGGCGGCTGCTCGTTGAGGCTGGAGTAGCTGGAGGCCCTTGAGGGAGTCCTCTGCAATTCCGTGGGCGGCTCCGGACTGCCGCACATGGAGCTGGCGCACGAGGAGGCGTGGCTGGAGGAGCGCAGAGACACCGAATCGGAACGATTCCGCAGCGGCGAGATTTGCACGTGCTTCAGCATCTGTAAATGGAGGAAAGGAAATGCGGGTAAATTATATGGTTTACAGAGACCCCAAACTTCTGTCTTATTCATTATGAATGCTTCCTGGAACACTCCATGAACACTTGCTACTCGAAATGAAGTTGCCACATCCGTTTGTCTCAAGAAGGCTGCACAGAGACAAATTTATAAAATACTGCTGAATAAACCTTAAAGATATAACATATGATATCAGATATACAAGGATTCCAAGATCAGACAGATTAATTGGCTGTCTATAACGATATTAAGATCCCGCTAAAACTAACTAATTCAATTTATAAAAAATTTAAATTTATCCTTAATTTCTGACCAAAATTAGAATACTCTACAAAAAGGATAGTTAAATACTTCTCACACGAAAACATACCCTTTACGAAAGACAATAAAAGGCTATTCCTGGAGTTCTGGAAATTTCAATGGACAATGTGAAAGAGATTTCCTTTATGCTCTGTGTAGTTCAAATGTGGCCTCTGTTGGGAAACTCATGAATGCAGCCACTTTCTGGCAGCCGCCAACGCTCATTGAAGCATGTAAATGAAGGGGAAGATATTGAGGAGAAGTGTCCTCAGCCGAAGCATCTCTCAAAGAGAACAGCGGGAGGGGTGCAGTGGGGTGGGGGCAAAGATGTATTGAAATTAATAAAGGGTTCACAGTGCAGCAGCCCCACATCGCTGCGGTCCTCATGGCGGTGACAATGAGCCATGAATGGACCAAATAGGGCGTGCATCGGGAAAAATCGCCGTCTGACGTTTGATTGAAAGCCGTACCTAGACCTGCGACCACAGACCCCACTCGATAGACACGATTTCCCCTATGTTCAAAATCCCTATCCAAGCAGGCATTTAGATTCATTTGAGGCGTGCCCCATTGTGAGGCGATTGCAAGCGGAAGTTGGTGGGATCTCCTCTACTCAACATCCGGTTATGCAATCCCCCTAGAGCTCTCTGCCTTTATATGTGACTACAGTGGTGCAGAGCCCATTTCAAAGTCTATCATTTTGAAAATTGGAAACTAAAAAGACTTCAATTTTTATTTATTTATTATAATAAGATTGGTCCTAAATATTACATATACCTATATTATTATTTCTACAGATTTGTTTTTCATTTTCTGAAAGGTAATACAAAATAAAATCCTTTTAAATGAGAAGCTTCTTAATTTATGTAAGGCTATACTCAGGGATTCAGAGCAGTATATTAAACCATTAATTATTAAGTTTAATATTAGTCAGAATCCCCCAAGTGGGCCACCCCATTTCCACCCAATTTCTCTCTACAACAACAAGTTTGTTCGGAAATAAGTTATCCTCATATGACTGAACAAAACAAGCTAAGAGCCCAAATATATATGGCATAGTTTTGTCACTTTAAAGGTTATATACTTTACAAGACGGCCAGCATTAAATAAGCTTCGAGCCACTGTATGTAAATATATATATGGCCCTAAGTGGGCGTTTCTTTTTGATTGCAGGCCATGCATATGGCAAAAATGTTCTCCCAGCTCAATAATTTGCTTTATTATGGAACCAAGCAGCATTTAATTAAAATGTAAAAAGTTTGGAAAATGGTTGCGATGATTGCGAGCTCTCACACTATTAATTATTACCGGAATTTAAGTCGCAGTCACTGAAGCAATTGAACCGCAGCGAACCAGCATAATATTTCAGTGAGCGCTGAAGCAATGCAAACTGCTCAAGTTGTGACTGTGAATCGCGACTGTGAGCTGTGACTGACGGGGAACAGTGACGAGGGGGGTGGACCGCTTAAGTGCTGACGACTGCTGTTCCCGCAATAAGCGACTAATGTTGCAGAGTTTCAAACCATGATGGCGCTCGGGTCACTGGGAATTTGAACTCTCCAGCTCGCCGACTTCATCTTAATCGCGAATACTGGAAAAATCATTTTGAAACTTAATTTACTGAAGTAATTTTAAATGAATTCATATTGCTCTTTTATACCCTTTATTTTAGCTTGTAGGACTGGAATATATATTTATAATCTCTTAAAGTTTTTGAGCACGAACTCGCGAAGCATACTGAGTGATAACCGAAATTAGGGTCCCCGAAAAACAATTGAGTGTCTGCACATTGCAAATCAACTAAATTAATTCCCGTCTCAAAAAAACCAACATAAAAATGAAAACAAATCAAATAAAATTTGGAAGTTAAAGATGAGTAAGAATGACAGAAGGAAATCAAGAAAATATATTTAATTTGAAATTGAATTAGATACTCGCATAAAATTGTAGGACCCTCTGCGCACGGCGCATAAGTTGAAAGAAATCGAGTAACGAACCGAGTCCCAAGATATGATGTAAATTGGTTCCCCGGCAGGAAAGCAAAATGTTAATAGGATCTTGTTTGAGGTGACAAGGGGAACAGAAGGGGCCAGTTAAGTGGATATTAGCTTAAGATTTATAGCCGTCACCGTGAAACAACTAGCGCTGACCTCAATGAGTGAGTCGCTAGCCCAGCTTTAACAGAGACACTATGCCCCAAACTTTTCCAATTATGCCATCGATACCAGCCGCAGAAGGTTGCAGGACCCACAGTCGCAGCCCTCGGGCCCTTAAAGTGCTGAGAAAGTCGCATAAATTCCACAAGGCAATACAACGTCGCAAGAGACACAGAGCGAGACGGAGCAGTAAGTAACTGCCAGACAGACATTACAGAACTTACAACTGCTGGCAAGAAACAAAAGAGGCAATAAAAAACAGCTGCAGATGAGAGTGGGAAACTGAAAGATGCTCACAACTTGCGAGGAATGTTTTAATTTTAACTTCTCGGCGAGCAAATCGTGAACGTTTCCTTCCAAGGAGATGACAGCATCACTCACGGTTGAGATGAGCTCACTAATCTCAGCACGAAAAATTATTTTTTAGTTTTACAGATTCATTTCGAGCGTAAGTATTCTCTGGACTTGTAAAACTTATGAAACATGGGAGCTATATCAGGTTAAAAATGTTTTTATTGCCTTAAAGTGCGCTGGCTCACGGATCCATATCTAACGGGCTCTTCCAGCATGGCACGTATAGCTAAGGCTTTTCAGCTTCAAGAGTCATAAAACTGCACCCTGACATTCAACAGAAAATAAATGTCCTTGAACTTGTTGCTGAAAAGCAGAAACTTTTTAGTTACCGATACATATCTGAGACTTTATCGGAAGAGGGGCTGTATCCTTTATCCTTTATCATTTTCACACATTCGAGAGGCAAACGACCAAAAGGATTATTGATTGAATTACCCCAGCAGCGAAAGGAGCCAGAAAATACTTTCATGGCCAGCAGACTAGAAAAAGGGACCAAAAATAAAGTCCGGGGCCTGCAAAAATGGCTGCGACTAAAGAATATTTTCTCGAAGAACAAGGAAAGGTTCTTTAAGTGCGAAAAGGCACGCCTAGCATCAATGCCCAGCCCCTTCGTCAGGGGTTTTCCACATAACTCGGATGACGTGTCTGATAAGATCTGACTGCCATCTTACGTTGGCTTTATTAATCAAAGACTGGGGCCAGGAGGTCGGATGGATGGAGTCCTGACAAACGACAACAACCTCAGAGCGTTTGGCAAATGTTGCCATCGTTTCGACGCCTTCGTTGTCATTGTCAGACTGGCGGAGAAAAAAATTGTGAAGAAAATGAAAAATTGCATATGAAAAACGAAAAGGGGAAAAGGCAACGGAGCGGATAATTCATAACAACAACAAATGAGTCACTGTATGTAAACATATATTTACTAAAACATTTTGATTAAGTATCATCTTTTCAACTGTTAATTATGTGCATGAGAAATATTTTATCAGTCATAGTATCTCATTTAAACCCAGTTGCCCATATTGGTTGGCAATTTTATGCAAATTTATAAGCTGAAGCGTTTATTTGCAAATAAATATGATGAAAGTTAAATCAAACCAGTAAATAAATGTGACAGTTCATGTAAAATGGTTTAAATCTGACTGAAAAATGACAGAAGTCAATATTTAAACAACCTTGCGATACACTTATAAAAATAAATTTCTACATTTTGATTTGACCAGCTTTTCAATCAAGAAAAAATCTTGTTTCAAGAAATGTTTGTAGTTAATCCAATTATTATTATTAATTAAATAAACATAATGAATTTGTTTGTTCTATAATAAATAAATATTTTTCTAAGCTTCAAAAATTATTATTTACTTATTTTTATTAAAAATAAATTTGTAGACGTGAAAATTAAGGTTTTTGTTAAGAGTGTAGTTTGGAATCATATGTCACACAACTCATGTGTGCTTACTTGCATATTTAATGCATATGCCATATGACGCGAAATTTATTTGAAGCGCCACTGCATCCGAAGTTAAATCGCATTTGTGTTTTTTCTTCAATTTAATTGATGAAATTGACTTGCAAAAGTCAATTAAGTTAATCGTTTTAATGGGGAATGGTTCACTGAGAGAGACCCTTTTGATTGGACCCTTTTTTGGATACATTGTTTGCGTTTATTTTGCCTCGATGCCCACCGATGCGTTGCAAAAGATTTTCAAGTCAGTTGTTTCTCTCTCTGGTTTCCTGCAGCTTTTTTTCATTTACTTAGCTTATTCTTAGTTGAGTGATTTTTGGTGTTTCGCTTTACGGTTAATTTATGCGCAGTCTTCTGAGATTTTTATAACCGACTTTGGTTATATTTTCAGCATTGAAGTCGGGTGCGGGTTAATAGCTTTATGGAAAACCGCTAAGTAACAAAATTAAATGCTGAAACCTGAAAACTCTGGTTAAAGTTGATTATTTCTTTTGTAGCACAAGCCAACTAAAGTAAAAAACAAAATAAGCCATCCATATTTATACACATATTATGTTTAACTCTCAACCAACCGTGCAAATTAATACAAAAAGCGAAGAAAAAAATGTTTAAGCTATTTGCGTAATGCCGCCATAAAATAAAAGCCACACAAAATGTTCCGAAAACATTTGTTGAAAAACTCTTTCTGTCTCACTAACATTTGTAGT